CGTGCCGTGGCCACCCACCCTGGTGTTACCTCGGAGCCATGGGGCCCACCACCTCTCGGGCTGTTGCCTGGCGCCGTCTTTGCAACAGAAAGTGGGGATCCTTGTTTGGGGTAAGGCTCTGGAAAGGGCACTGCTGCGGTGGGTGCCAGCGCCCTGGGGAGGGGGAGACCTCAGGGCAGGTTAATGATGTGGCTGGACCTTTCTGGGGGTTGCACTGCCAGCACCATGCTGGGCAGCTTCCTGGAGGAATTGTCTGTGTTTGCTTGCCATGAAAGAGTGATGCTGTGGTCCTGCACCCTGTGGCCTCAAAGGGAGTGTCCTCAGGAGGCAACTGAGTTGGCAGAGGCGGGGGTGGAGGGTGCTTACATGTCAGCAGGGTCCAGTTCGAGGAATTTTGAAAACCTATTGGGTGCCCATCACCTTTGGAAACTGTTCCTACTGAACTTTGGCCATGAATCTCGAGAGTGAGTGTCTCCAAAATAGTGTTTTATTGCAAGAGTTTTGCCAACGGAGCAGTGTAGATGTGCTGCAGTGCACTGGCCCCCGACGCTGCCCTGAACCGCGCGTGGTCCAGGCACTGGGGAGCATCTCGTCCACCAAAGCAGAGTGGTCCTTGGTGGGGCGGCTCGCTCGGGTTTGCGTTGTCCTCCTTGGAGGTGGGCACTGAAAATGGGTAACGGAGATACCCAAGTTGTGACCCTGGCACTGCAGGGGCGTCAGGAACAGGGTGTATTTGTACACTGTATTTTAGGGAACGAGCTACAGCGCGGTTGCTTTGCTTGTTTTGATGCACAGACACACGGCACTGGAAGGGCTGTGACACCTCACCTGGCCCTTCTCATGTTTGATTAATATTTATCTGAATTTTTTCTTCTTTTTTTTTTTTTTAATTTCTTACACCGGCACACAGTAAAAGGTTACTGTGGCATCCTAACTGTGCATTTGTAGCACACAGAGACTTAAAGGAACCTGATCTTTCTCAAGCTGAGCTTAATTCTGACTGTAATGTGTAGGCTGTTAATTATGTTTATTGAAGGATGTGCTGAGACTGTGTCTGGCCAACTCAAATCAGGTTTATATAGATTCAGTCAAAAATGTCTCCAAACAGATGCATCGAAAGGAAAGTACCAGTTTGATTTAGAGAGGTCCCAACATAGAAAGGGTTGTTTATGTATTGTATTTAACTCTAATTGGGTTAGCAGCTGAGACTCAGAGGATTAAACAAACTGACCTAAATACTGGTCTCAGTGGTCTTAGTTAATGACTAGTTTCCTGCATCTCAGCCGATTTGGTTTCCCAAATACTCTCCAAAGTGCGTTATCTTTGTATCGAAGGTGTAAAACCGTGTCGTGTCATTTATTGTGGTTCTGACAAAGCAGTGCTCCTTTGGAGAATAGGCTCTGCAAACAGATTAAACGGCGTCTGAAGAGAACACCTGATCCGCCCCGGGCCCGCAGGAGGAGCAGGGATTGAGTGGATGGAGCGAGGTGGTGTCCAGGCATGATTGCTGGCACCGTCCGTTATTATTTCAGCTAACAGCAGATGGTAGAGAGGAGAAATCATCCATTTCCATTTACAATTTATTTTTATACTGCAAGAGGCAGGATTGCTCAAGTCGTTGCTGTCAGGCAACCCTCTGGAAGGAAAACCTTGTTTACCGTGAGGGATTTTTGGGGAATGATTTTTTCATTGTCACATGTTGAGGGAAGACTCTGCAGGGCCAGAAGTGAGATGGAGAAGGAGCCTGTTCCCTCTCCGAGGGGCTGGAGGGTTCTCATAGAGCAAGCAGCTCCAGTGTCAATCTCACCGGGGGTTTGTTGGGTCAGGAGGAATCTCTGCGTGTTTGGCTGTGGATGTGTAAGTGGGCACCGAGATCACCACGTAGTTGGATATTTTCCAGCTGTGGTGGAACCCACCCTGCCTTTATTGTGCCTTTTGCTCCTTGGGATGCACTTGCCGGTGGGATAATCAAATCCTGATGGGGCACCTTGTACTTTCAGCTGTCCTCGCTCAGGGCAGCGAAGTGACACGATGGGGACACGAAGGTGCTCGGGGCAGCAAGGTGATGTGATGGGAACACGAAGGTGCTCAGGGCAGCGAGGTGATGTGATGGGGACACAAAGGTGCTCGGGGCAGCAAGGTGACGCGATGAGGACACGAAGGACGCTCAGGGCGATGAGGTGGCTCCGTTTCCCACAGCTTCATTCATGTCAAGAACACCATCTCCACCGGCGGGGCTGAACGAGGGCAGCCCAGTTGCTGTACATCCCGTGGCGTTCAGAGTGCATGTTCCTGTGGTTGTTAAAAACATGGATCCCCTACGAGAAAGCAGCCTGTTGTTTCTTTAGTTCAATACTAATTTTCAGCCCGTGTCTTGGCCGAGCTTGTACCCTGGGACTGGATTTCATGTCTTCTGGGCTGGGGAGCCTCAGAGGGGCTGCGGCCGTGGGGGCTCGGGCTCTCAGCGGTGCTTGGCCTGTGCACCTGGTTCTGCTGCCCAAACCTCACCCTGGAGTTGCCCTAAAATGACACCCTGAAGCCGTACCGTTGGGGCCACAGGCACCCGCTGCCCTGTCTCTTGGGGACGGGCT